TCAGAGAAACATATATAGGTTAAAAAAAGAAATCTTCAGCAAGGCAGATATCAGACTGTGGCTTTTGGCTTCAAATACTGTCATCAGATTACTCAAATAATATTTTGTTTTGTGAGATCCTTAAAAATGGTTATATATTGAGGCTGGCCCAGTGGTATAGTGGTTAAGTTCTTGCACTCTGCTTCGACAGTCCAGGGTTTGCTGGTTCAGATCCCGGGCACGGACCTAGCACCACTCGTCAGGCCACACCGTGGTAACATCCCACGAAAATAGAGGAAGACTGGCACAGATGTTGACTCAGCAACAATTTTTCTCAAGCAAAAAGAGGAAGATTGGCAACAGTTGTTAGCTCAGGGCTAAATCCTCCTCACACACACAAAAAAAGGCTATATATTTTTCATTTAAAAAAATTTTCTCCTTTCCTATTTGCAATTAGGATTGAAACTATAAATTCAGTCAAAAGCAGTATTTTCCTTCAGAAATCTACACTATAAATCTATCAAGTTAGTTCTGTTAACTACCTCAGACAAATTCTAAGTTGGGCAAACATACTAGACAACATTAAATAACTATGTGAATTCAATTAATTACACAAGTAATTCTCCACTTTTGGCAAGTGTTTGATTCTGTTCTTAAAAGCTTAAATACAAAATGGAAACAGTTTAATGTCATGAAGAGCCTAGGACATTTGCTGAACACCAGGAAAACCTCAAAAAGCACATCGTGGGGTCAGCCTGGTGGCGTAATAGTTAAGTTCCACATGCTCTGCTTTGGTGGCCCAGGTTCATGGGTTTGGATCCTAGACATGGACCTACACCACTCATCAAGCCATGCTGTGGCAGCATCCCACATACAACATACAGGAAGACCAGCAGAGATGTTACCGCAGGGCCAAACTTTCTCAAACAAAAAGAGGAGGATTGGCAATAGATGTTAGCTCAGGGCCAATCTTCCTCACCAAAAAAAAAAAAAAAAGAAAAAGAAAAAGCACATCTTCATTAAGTTCAAAGCAAAGAGATTTGACTCCTTTAGAACAATACAATTAGAGCTGTGACTACATAGAGAACTGAATTGTTGTAAAAAGAAGATAGAATCTGGTATTGGGATGACCAGGATTTGAATCCTGGCTCAGTTACCTTGCAGAAGCTACGCAGGCTCTCTGAAATTCAGTTTCTTCCACTGTAGAATGAGAATAACAGTAATATCCACCTCACAGAGTTGTTGTGAAGACGGAATGAGTCAATGAAGCATTTGCAACCAAGGCAACACCTGATACATGGTAAACGTGTGTAATAAATGTGAATTCCTTTCTTCTACCTCCCTTCCCTGTATAAAACTCATGTGGCAGGTTTTGAGAATTTATCATGGTCATGGAATAGTTATGTTCTTGAAGAAAACAGTGTGTTCAGATCATATTTTAAGAACACTGAAGGAAATTTTGACACATGCTACAACATGGATGAAGCTTGAAGACACGATGTTAAGCGAAATAAGCCAGTCACAAAAGGACAAATATTGTGTGATTCCTTTTATATCAGGTCCCTAGAGTAGTCAAATTCAGAGAGAGAAAGTAGAACGGTGGTTGCCAGGGACTGGGGGGCGAGGAAATGGGGAGTTGGTGTTTAACGGGGACACATTTGGGGAAGATGAAAAGGTTCTGGAGACGGATGGGGTGACGGCTGCACAACAATGTGAATATACTTAATGCCAGAGAACTGTATACTTAACAATGGTTAAAATGCTTAAGTTTTTGTTACGTATATTTTATCACACACCAAAAGAATACCGAAAAGTACTTGTTATTTAAAAGAACCTTGTAATAAACTGTTTTGAAAAGAGAATTATTCAGTAAAATAAATAATTACGTTGTAGTTTACTTGTTCCAGCTTCCAGACTAAAGAGAGCATGATGGGAGAAAAACCAGGTAACTCCACGATTTGGTAGAATAACTTGCTTTCCCTTCAGCCAGGTCCTTGCTGCTGGGCAATGCTGCACGACTCTTCCCCGGGCAGCTCCCTTTCTCACTTCCGACAAGGCGCCGTTCCAAGCACGCACAGACACCTTCAGACCATCGCAGGATACTTATACTTACCTTATACTAAAATAAAGACCTCCCTTCTACCCTTTATCTGTCATCTACCTCCTATTTTAGATTGCTTTTTTAAAAAAAGGTAGTCTATACTCATTGTCCCTACTCGTTACCGCCCACTGCACTTAGTCATTAAAATGAAGTTTCTGACACCAGTATTATAATTTTCCTCACTGAGGGCCTCTGACTTGGTCAACTCCAATGGCCTCATTTTACTTCTCATCTCAACTGGACCTCTTAGCGGCATCTGATATTGATTACTTCCCTTTCTGAATTGTTCTTCGATGGTCTTTTCCTGAGTATGCCCTTGAGATGCTGGAGCATCCTGGAGTCCTTTGCTTGGCCCTCCCTCATTCTGCTCAGCTAGCTCTTCTTTGGGATTCTCACCCATCCACACACGTGTGACTCCACACTCTGTATCTTTCTCTCCTAAAGTTCAGAGTCACATTTCCAACTGTCTGCTAGTTATCACCATTTAGACGCCCCATTCTCAAATGTGCAAAACCAAAACCAATGCTTCCTTTCTACACTCCCATCTGATCGTTAGAGGATTAAAAAATCTACAACCATTTTCCATTCTTCCATCTCTCTCACAACTGCTATATGTAACTCCAGTCAGTAAGTCTCACACATTCTACCTCCCCAAATCATCCTCCATACTGTGTCTTCTCCTCCACCGTCTCCACGGCCAACGCCTTCACACAGGCCCTCCTCTCACTCACGTGCACGGCTGCATGAGTCTCCTGACTAGTCTATTCTCTTTAGTTTTTCCCCTTCAGTCCAATTTTCACACTGCTGCCAGGCATTTTTCTAAATGTCAATCGACACAACTCCTCTGATTTTAAAACCTCCAGTGGCTCTCTGCAGCCGACAGGGCAGAGGCCAGCTATTGGCATTACACACACAGCTCCTTCCGACCTCATTTCTCGCCACTTTCCCATTCCCCAACTCCCATGACCCTCAAGCTCCTTCTGGACTTCTCAAAAACTGATCCTCAAACCTCTCCAGCTTGGTGCGTGCTCCTTGTTCCTCTCCACGTGGCACACAACTACACACTCTCAAAGACTCAAGGGCCAGTCTTCCCAGGCCTCCCCAGGCCGAATTAATCACATGCTTTCGGAGCAGTTTGTACGTGAGGCCTCTGCTGCAACCTTATCACACAGCAAGCACTTACTTGTTTCTTGCTCCCAAGCCATCACTGAAACCTACTGGGTGGAGCACCTCAAGATCAGGAATTCTGCCTTACTCACTTCTCAGTCCACCCCAGATTCTGTAAGGCTCACGTGGTCTCTCTCTCTAGTCATGGATTTCCCAACCATCAAAGCTCAGTGACTTCACCGCCACACTGACAGACTGTGGCGAGTGTGTCTACTACAGGGCGTGAGAAAATCATTCATTTGTTCATTCAACTAACATTTATTAGATGTGGGGATACATAGGCGAGTAAGACTTGAGCCTGCCCACTAAGGAGTTCACAGTCTAGTAGGGAAAACAAACACATAAACAGACGTTTATATAGCATGTGCTAGAAGCCCCGTGACAGAGTGATTCCCAGGACATTCTGGAGACAGAGGGGCTTGGAGGAGGACAATTAACCCAGCAAGTGTGGGGTAGTGGGAAAAGAAGAGGACACTGGAGGGAGCTTCTAGGACCGATGGCGCCCCAAGTGAGTCTCAGAGAACATAAGGGAAAGAGGAGGAGACAGGACAGGCGGGAGACAGGACAAGGGACATATCTCAGTTAACCACATTAACTTTTTGTCAGCTGCTCAAGTACAAGAAGTCAAAGTCATGATATAATCTTTGCAAATATATCCACATCTCTAATTTAAAAACAAATAACACAATCTGCCATCTCTGGAGACACCCCTTCTCACTCCCTTTTTTCTCGCCCTCTCTCTCACACCCACCAACAGGAAAATCTTTATACGTGTAATGAAAACACACGTCGCATCCTTCATGGCAGTCCTGACACGTTTAGAGCCCGTGCTTCTCTTCTGAAGCCTCCGGCAGTGGTCACTTACTATCTGTGCTATTCCCCCAACGTCTCTCTGACCTCGCTCTCTCCCTCCTGCTACTCCTTCTCAGGGCCCTGACCCGCCATCTCCTGCCGTGCTCACCATCTACGCACACAGCAGAACTAGGCTACGCTGCCCTATTTATTCAAGATGATATTACCGAGGACAATCATATCCTTCTGTGCTAAGAAGAACTTATTAACAATAGTTCTTTTTTCACAGCATAAAGTCTACCCTTTCATTTAGAACCAGTTATTACTGCTATTCTGGTTTAGTTTCTCTAAATCTTTAGTAGACGTGGCTTTTTCTTAAAAGAAAAATAACCTTATAAGAAAAAAAATTAAAATAATAATCATCACACCACGTAGCAGAGAAAATTCAGATTTAATTTCTGGCTTCATCAGTGTTTTACTACACAAATCCTTTGTCCATTTAATCTCAAATCCTTATAGAAATCTTTAAATATGCCATGTCACATAGAGTAATTTTTTAAATATTTTCATGTTTTTGCTCCATATTATTGACAATTATTTTACTGATTTGAAAACTGATTAAATATATGTACAGACACATAACATAAAAGTATAGAAAGTCATCTTTCAACTTAGTATTTACATTTGTCAGTTACTACTTTCATCATATTTACTATGAATTAATTGCATCCTGGCAAGTTCAATTAAAAAACCACATGAATAACAGAACCGTGCTTGACGCTGGGAGGTAGGGGAGACAAAAAAGAGGTGATCCCTAGTCTGGGATCTGATCTTGAAGCCACACTAACCAGGGGGAAGGGAAGGAACAGGAAAGGAAGGGAGGAGGGGAAGAGCACAGATAAGTATAGTTAAAAGCAATATTCGAAGTAAAAAAATTATACAGTAAGTTGATTTCACTTACAGTGAAAAGATTTCCTGAAAACAAGTGAGGTAAAATCCCATTTCATCCCTCAGTCCAAGAACTGAGTAGAAGTACCATTCCAGGGAGGCTTGGTGGTGCTAAAAGGAGGCAAGAAGGATGTAAGATCTCAAAACCTAAGTGATGAAAGACATGCCAGCCACTCATCCTCCCACCTCCAGCACTTTTTAAAAAGTTAATCATCGAATTAAACGTTATAATCCAATTTCCAAAATTGTTCTCCCTCACTTAAACTGCTGTCACCTCTAATAATCTTACAGGCAGATGCATTCATTTCGAACATCGTTCTCTTCAGATTCTGCAACATCTGAAGCCCTGGATCACGCCACTTTGTTCGTCCCTGCCAGAACACTGCTGGCCCTTCCTTCTCCCTAATGCTACAGATCTAATGCCTCCTCCCGATCAGACTCCAAACCACAGCTTCCCTCAAGGCCTTGGTCCTCAGTGCTCAGGCCTCTCCGCGTGCTCACCCCTTGAAGAATCGAACCATCACTGCCGGGATGACAAATCTGAAACTTCCCTCCTTGGCTAGACATTTCAACATGAGCCCTGGGTCTATAGTTTCAGCTGCTTAGGAATTTCCCCTTGAATGTCTAAAACCAAGCAAGCAGCCATATCCCCTCAAAACTGGTTTCTTTTTCCAGTTATTACATGCCTGATCGTTCTGCAGACCTGAAAACCTCAAGACCATTTTTTCACTCTCCTCTTCCTCTCTCTCCTCACTCTGGGGCATCCCTCACCTGGGTCCTACCTCTCCTCTCTCATCTCCCCTGACTAAATCCATCATTACTGAACGTGACTGCTGGATGGCTTTACCAGGGTCTACCTCCTATTTCTCCCTCCCTTCACTTCTCCTTTAATATCAGATTAACCCCTCGCTAGACACTGTGGTATCTTCCCCCTTCACAGTCACATCATCACCCCTCTTCTTCAGAACACAAATAGTGGGCTGGCTTTAAAATACGTTCCCAGATTCTCTGACACTCCCCTCCTTACAAGCTGCGCTCTAATCCGTTCCCCTTGAACGCGAGCTGAACTTACTGGCTTGCTTCTGCTTCTAAGGAAGAAAAGTGGCAAGAGAGCTCCCTGGTCCCGAATCCCCGACCTGCAGAAACGGTTAGAGATAATCAGTGCTGACGGGTGTTCTGAGCCACTACATTTGGGGGTAATCTGTTAGAGGGCAACAGATCACTCCTTCAGAAGGGCTCTCTGCTGCCGAATGGATCAAATGCAAATTCTGGCCACTCAGGGTCTTCCACTGACTGCCCTTCCTGTGTCTCTGAACAGCAACACACTGCTTCAGTCTACGGCCAGTCACCGTACTGACTGCTGCGGAAAAAATTCCACCTCGACTTTAGCCTCGGCTATTTTCACACGAAAGGTCCTCCTTGGTTCTCTCTACTCGACTAAATTCAACACTTTGTTAGGCTCAATGCAAAGTCTCCTTGTCAAAGAAATTTTTCTAATGCATACAAATAAACATCTATCTCATTTCCAAAACTGTATTTAAGTTATTTAAGGTAGACATCATGACTTTGCTATCTTTATATTCCCCATATTAACGGACACACAGATATAACTTTTTGTTTAGAATTATGTTTTATGAGGCTTCTTTCAAAAAAAGTTTTGAATGTCTTTTAACGATGGACATATACAATAAAGGGTACTTGGCTTTAAAAGGTGTCAGATAGTTTAAGAGTATAATTTGGTAGAATATATTACCAAAATAATCTACAGGACCTATGAATAAGCAATTCCATTTCCAGGAGTCTACTTTACAGGTATAATAACACAAGTCAGCAAAACACAGGTACAAGGACATTCTCCACAGCATTGTTTATAACAGGGAAAAGCCACAAGCAACATAAAATACATCAAAGAGGAAAAACTAAATTAAATTAGGGTATAACAGACTACCATGGATCCATTTTAAAAAATTGAGTAAGTCTCCATGTACTGACATGTTCAGACCTCCATGATATAAGCGGAAAAAAGATAGTTTTATGAAGAAAATAAAATATTTAAGAATAAATATAACAAATGTGAAAAACCCATCTGAGGAAAACATAAAACATTCCTAAAAAGGCACAAATGAAGACTTTAACAAATAGAAGGACATTTCTTATTTTGGGATAGAACAAGTCAACATCATAAAAATGTCAGTTTGATATAAATTAATTTATAAATTTAATGCAATCCCCATAAATATACCAACAATTCTTTTTAAAGAAGCTAGACAACTGATACAGAACTTCATACTAAAAATATACACGCAAGAACAGCCAGGAAAACACTGAAACGCTGGAGAGGAGGACTAGTCCTCCGAGACATTAAATTACACGAGAAAGCCATATAATGAAAAGTGTGCTACTGTCCATGAACAGACAGACGAACCAGTGGAGTAATACAGAAAGTCCAAAAACAGACCCAAGTACAGACAGAACTTCAGGACTATAGGTAACAAAGGGGGCACCCAAAAAAAATCACTGGGGCAAAAAGTGACTTTTTAATAAATGGCTAAAGCAATTGATTAGTCATTTGGAAGACAATAAAATTAGATCCGTACTTCATACCGTAGACAAGAAGAGACTCCAAATGAATCAGGGATCTAAATGTAAAACCCTGAAGCCATACAAGTGTTAGACAGGAAAAAACGGCAAATTCTTCTCTAACCTGGATATAAGGAAACGCGTGCTAACCATGACTCAGAATCAGGAAAAATAAAAGAAAAGATGATCATTCGATTACATAAAATTTGTGAACAAAATTTTTTTGCAAGGCAAAAGAAAAAACCACCATCATTAACCAAAGACAATAGATAAAACGGGAGGAAATATCTGCATCGTACCACAGATAAAGGGCTTATATCTATAATACATAAAAAACTCTTAAAATTGAGTAAGTAAAGACTAGTAACTTGACAGAAAAATGGCCAAAGGACACACACACATACACATACACACACATATACATATATAAATGCATATACCCCTTAAAGAAAAAATGTTCAATTTCACTCATAAGAGAAATGCAAACTAAAACTACACTGAAATGCTGTTTCTCACCTATCAGATTGGCAAAAATTAAACTGTATAAAAAGGCACTCTTGGCCAGGCTATGGAGAAAAGGCATTCTCACACAGAGCTCCTTGGAGAAATCGCCACTTCCAGGGCTGAGGCAGAGAAAGGACACGAGGGGAGGGCCATTCTATGCCAGAAGGTAAGGATGTGTCAAAGAATAATGGGGATGTGTCAAAAGGTAACAGGAGTCAGCTCAAAGGGGCTCCCACTGGCCGAATCTAGGACAATCTGAGCATCAAAATAAGTAAGGATAATGAAATAAGAATAAAATAAGAACCCACGAGTCTACACTGAGGTAAATAAATAAATGAGACAGAACAGAATGCTCTTTGTGGAAGAAAGTCAACAAATAAACGAAGAGGGAATGATGGAAATTTAAATCACCATCCTAAGAATAACTGCTTCAGGCAAGAATCATCCATGGATTCTAAAGCCTACGAGGAAATGTTTGAGGAATAACAGGGTATTAACTAAAAACATAACTCCAGACGACAGTTATTGTTTGAAAAAGGAGAAAGAGTAACTTTACACCTGACAACCCTGGCAGACCAGGGCTTAACTGAATGGTCAAAGTTAAACTCACCAGCAGTGGGACAGACAGACACCATGTGCCCCTGAGTATGATGCACTGAGAAGAACGCAATGCCCCTTGCACAGCATTTCTGCCACAAGTGCAAAACCTGACTCCACCTGCGTGGAAACTTCAAACAAACCAAAGTGGAAGGACTTGCTAGTAGTAACTGGCTAGTACTCTTCACAAGTGTCACACAAAGAAAGACTGAGAAACTGTTCCAGATAAAACGAGACCATACGTAACGTATGATCCAGGGTTTTCTTACCATAAAGACATTTTGGGAATAATTGGCGGAATCTGACTAAGGTCTGTACTTAGATAGTATTGTATCAGTTAATTTCCTGACTTTGAAAAAGAATAAACTTATTTAGAAAGGAAGGGAAAAAGTAGGTTCTGGCCAAGAATGCACAGCCTGGATTTAACAATGAGAAAACAGCAGATAAACATAAAATGAGGAACTTTCTATTATTCCAAAAAAAAAAAAAAGGACAGGTACTATATTCTTCAAAAATGTCAATCTGATAAAAGACAAAGAAAAACTTTCTGTTTTTCAGATTAAAGAATATTAAACAGATATGTCAACTAAATGTGATCTATGACCCTATACTGGATCTCATACCACAGGGAAAAAAATATGATAAAAATCTTGATTAAGTCAACTGACAAAACCATCATATGAATAGCAGATTAGATTAAAACATTTTAACAATATAAATTTATGAAACAGTAACTATTACTGTAAGCCCAAATATTATCCAAATAGAGAAAACCCCTATTCTTAGGAAATACACACTGAAATAACTAGAGGTAAAGGGCCATGAGATATGTAACATCCTCAAATGATTCAGAAAAAGGAATACGTATACACACATATACATACAAAAATACAGAATAGGAAAATATGCACAAATGATAAAGTAAATGGGGGAAAATGTTAACAACAGGTGAATCTAAGTAAAAATAGATGTTCTTTGCATTATCTTTGGGTTTTTTGCAACCTTTTTAATGGTCCGTCCTCTAAATGAAATGATTCTGAATTATCATAAAATAGATTAAGATCAGCAATCTTCAAAAAGAAACTACCTTACGAGTTAGTGTTTAAATATTTTAACAATAACTGCATTTTCTAAGTGTTCATTTGAGAGAGAAAGTGTCTCAAAACGACCAAGCAATAGCCTAAGGGAAACACAACTGGAAAGAAGCTGAAATGTGCACAAGAAATTCTATCACATGTGGATATGACCACAAGAGCCTGGACAGTAGGCTACCTGGCTCTGAATTTGGGTTCCAAGCCCTAAGCTGCGCTAAACCCTATAACTTTATAAAGTGGGAATGATAACAGTACCATCTCCTAGCGCTCTTGTGGGATTAATGAAACAAGAGAAGAACAACATCTTAGCAAAGTGCCCAACACAGAGTAAGCATCCATTATTATTGTTATTACTATTATTTCTCCATTGTATTGGAACATGTCTGACATAGGATAACGAGGCCTTTGGTAGCTCATTACAAAGGAAACTCGAGAAGAATTCCTCACGTTTATCAGCACCACACTCTAGTAAAGATGCTCTGATTTTAGGCCCCAGTTTTTTAGACAGAATAGCCCCTGGAGTAAAAAAAAACAAGTTCTCTATCAAATTCCCATGAATTGTTGGAAACAGCAATTGAAAATACCCAATTCTTCCCCATCTTATTTCTATGATCACCAAGTAAAGTTATGATCCAAATTTTATCCTTTCCACAAACCCACAGCTGGCCACAGAACCTCTCCCACTGCAAATTAACATTCCATCTTCTGCAACCTTGCTTAGTTTAGTTAGCTTCATTCAATCTCACAGTCCCCATCGACTCTGAATGAACTGATAAAATCAAATTTCTTCACCTCCAAAGTCACACCCTAGACGCCTGATCAAACAGTGCAGAGTTCTGCTCCTCTTGAGACCTGCCTAAGCAATCAGCGGCTTCCCTCCTCGACAGGAATTTAACTACCAATGGTGAAATGTCAACTTCCCAGAAGCATCTATCAAGGGCAGACCATGTGTCTCCATTAACCACAGGATGCCTAATGGACACTGGGAGCAATTCAACATTTGCTGATTAATAAACACTGGCCTTGAAGAAAAGGCACTAAGTAACAATCAATAACTCTGTGTTAATCATACAAAAACAGAACATAAACTGTGGGTGAGTTAATTCTGAAATTAACCTTTCAGATGACATATTTCAAAACACTGTGAAATAGCAATTTACTTACTTATTTATTTATTTTTTTGGTGTGCAAGATTGGCCCTGAGCTAACATCTTTTGCCAATCTTCCTCTTTTTGCTTGAGGAAAAGTGTCCCTCAGCTAACATCATCCCAATCTTCCTCTGTTTTGTATGTGGGATGCTGCCACAGCATGGCTTGATGAGCTGTGTGTAGATCTGTGCCTGGGATCGGATCCTGTGAACCCCAGCCTGCTGAAGCAGAGCACATGAACTTAACCACTACACCACTGGGACGGCCCCCAAAATAGCAATTTTTAAGGATAAATACCAAGCAAGTTCACCATATAATTATACAAAAGCTATCACACAAAATAATCAAATTGCTATCAAGTAGAAATAATTTACTAATAACAGATTTCTACTTTTTACTCAATAAGGTCTTCTTTTAACCTTCGTAATCTTCAGTAAAACCCAAGAATCTGTCTTCACTAAAATCAAGAAAATAGCCAGACGTTATTCCTAAATGTTCATTTTCTCTTAGTAGCTTTTTTAACTTACTTACTATCTTTTCTCATCGAAGGTAATGTGAACATACTCACTGTAAATTCTAAGTCCCATTTGCCGTCTTCTATACTTTTCTACTGAAACAAACCACAAACTTCTCTTCTTGTTTCCCACTCTTCGAGGATGAAAAAATTCTCCTTTACTCCAAGAGGAATATACAAACTCCTACCACATCTTTCCTTGTGTTTTCCTCTGTGAAATCTTGGATATCAGGTCCCCATCAGGTCCCTCCTCCCCACACTAGCAGCTCCCAAAAAACAGACCTACTTACCTCCTGGACATCCTTTTCTAATAAGTGGCACAAACAGCACATTTCCCTTCAAAATTTAAAAGACAAAAATTGTCCTCCACCTTCTTTGTTTCAGGTCTCATTCTCCAAATTTCTTTAGAACATAAAGTGTTATCCTCCATGCTGCAAAGCTAATCATCGTGTCTCCACATAAGTCTGTGCTTGCTTATTTACTATTTATTTTTGAGTAAGAAATATTTTCAAGTAGTTAAAAAGTAAAAAAGGGTATTCAGGGAAACGTCTCCGTGTCCTCCAGCCACCTACTTCCTTCTCTTAGAGGCGTGAAATGTTACAGTCCATCTTCCGTCCTTCCAGAGATATTGTATCTATACATCTACATCTATACACGCACAAATGGTTATAAATTCTTTTTACACTCTTCTATGCCTTGTTCTTAACCTAAGATTGTATCTCCAAGAATATAGCATCACAGAATATAACGAGCTTCCTCTTTCTATTTTCAAGGCTATATATGACTTTAAATATACATAAACCAGTTTCCATGGCTCTAGTCTCTTGTTCCATCCATCCTTTCAATATACATTGTGCCGGACATGTCTGCCTGCTTTTAAAAAAGAAAAAGAAAAACACATTCTAGCTCCAAACCTGAATATTTCCTATATATTAGACCATGTTATTATGTCAATGCCAAACTTGTTGGGTGTTATAATTGTATTGTGGTTACATGGAAAAAAGTCCTCTTTGGCAGGAATTTAGAGATGAAGTGTGATGAGCATTTGCAACCTATATTCAAGTGGTTAAGCAAAAGATACACACCACATTTGATTCCAAACCCATACAGACAGAGCAAGCAGGCAGTACGGCAAAATATTAACAAGTGATTAATCTAGAAGGGTATATAAATGTTCAAAGTGCTATTTTTCTAAAGATTTGAAGTTTTCAAAATAAAAAGATGGGGCAAAAGGGTTCTGGTACTTCCATAGGGTCCCTTCCTTTGCTACCTTAAAACATACAATGGTCATTTCCCAGCTCCCACGCCTATGTCCTAACCTAGTCCAACCTCATCCCTCACACCCTCTCCCGAAAGAAAGTTAAAATGACTTCTTTAGTTATTTTCAACTATTGGTCCTTCAACCTTGAACTGCTCAAACATCACGGCCCCTGGGGTCTTCCCCTACTGCTTCAGTCCTCCCTTCTCCCTCCTTGTCTAGACCATTCTCTGGGGAATTCAGACATTTACTGGATCTCAGCGTTTCGTGGCGTATATACTGGAAACCCAGCTAGAGACTAAATACCCAGAGGAAGCAGCTCTCGATGAGTCATTTCGTAATTCCCACAGCACTCAGGTCAATGTGATGCACATGACAGGTATTCAGTGTTTACTGAAAGAAAAGGGTTCTTTAAACAAAGAAGGGTATGGGAACCACTGCTAGGCAGTGGAGAGGTCTCACAGCCCACCACCGCGGTCTGCTCGAGAAGCAACTCCCGTCTCTTCAGCTTCTCCTCCAACACTTGCAACTCATCTCATCCTGCCTATCCCTCCAGACTGTCACAACCGTCTTCTCTCTGACACAAACAATGACAGATTATCCCACTGAGAAGGGAAAAACCTGTTCCATAATCCCAAATAAAGCAACTCGAGAAGTTAGAATGGCCAAATTCTCTTAAATTTTATTTACATAACATTACTCTCTAACACTGTAATAAACTGTAAACAATTTGAAAAAAGCACCTCTCAATACCTGTCTACAGAGCATTCCTGCACGGTACCCTTTCACCAGTTTGAAACTAGGGGAGACCCGCCTCTGAAGGTGTGCTTCGGTCAGTCAGAATGACACTAACGACACTTGAACACAGAGACACTGTCATGTTGATGAAGACAACAACCTGTGTCTAACAACAATACACTGTGGAAAAGCTGATTCACTAACAAGGAAAAAGACAAACGATATCTACTGAAAAATAGGAATAAGATCTACATGAAATAAGACACAAATGGAAACTGCACAAACGTGCAATTACAGTTCAACCCTCCAAAAACTGAGATCCAGAGAGGTTCAACACCTCATCCAATCTCTCGTAACTAATCAAATCAAGCTAGGTTTAGAATTCATATGCTCTTCTCAGGCTTTCTGCCCCCTTTACCTCTAAATTTGATAGATTTAACTCTCGGTCCATAAAAAGCAGAGTGCCTCAGGAAGCAGAAGTCCTAATTGTGGTCTACGATGCCAATAACCAGGCGTGTAAAATTAAGTAAATTGTGTCATCTGTAAAATAAGAGGATTGAATTATAATGAACTCTGAAGTCCCTTAGAGCTAGAATGTGCTCTGATCCTTGACACTGGCATAAGCAACAGGTGTGTACTTATAAATCTGACTCTGTCACATTTCTCAGACCAAACTTTGTTACAGCTTAAACAGTTTAAAAACATTATTTTAACCCAAACAACAACTTTACCAAAAACTTCATAAACAGAAAGAATCCTGAAATTCATCATCTACATGATTACTATTACTTACATTTTGGCAGAATGCGTCTTAGCACAAAATTTAAACTTCAGTCTGAAACCTACTTGAACATCTATTTAACTATCTCAAAGGATCTGGGAAGTTCTACATTTCACTTCATTTTCCATTCAACATGAAATATGCTATAGAAACATATTAAACTCTTCAGAAATAGTGCGCAGCAGCATGGAATTTTACTGACTACAGTAACGTTAACTATCAGAATAAAACTTGTCTTTAGATCTGGTCTGCCATTAGTCAAGCTAAAAAAAAAATGCCTGTGCCAGCTGTAGGATGGTACTAGGCTATCTGATCCAGGAACGAGAAAAAAGCAACAGGGAAAGGAAGAGGAATAGAAGAAACAGGACCCAAAAAGAAAAAAAGGAAGGAAATTGAGAGAGTAAAGCAAATGGAAAGAAAAGAGAATAAACAAGGAGGAGAGGAATTGCCAACAATGGCTTGTCAGCATCCCAGGGCCATGGTGTGCCAGCATCCCAGGGCCATGGTGTGCCAGCATCCCACCAACCTCCCTCAGAGTCCAGACACCTTTAAGCATTTTTGTTTGTTTGTTTTCAGACAGAAAGTTTGCCCAGAGAGGACATGTTTACTTGTGCCTGGTCCTAGACTTCACGTCGAGGATTAGGAAGATGCCAAGGCATGAAAAGTAACACAGAAACAGCTACAATCCAAAATACACTGGACTGTTGACCTGGGACGTCCAGGCCCTCACATGTTCCCGAGGAGTCATCTTTCCACAGTTTGGATCTCATAACTCCAAAAGAGTATAATGATCCAAAAAAGATGTTTTAGCAAATAATATGCATATTTATACAACTGCAATTCAATACTTTCAAAAACTGGTACTCTCCAAAAACTACAAAATACAGTCCGAAGGAGGGCATTTCCAGTGAGACCCTCGAGATGCCACTGCAGCTGTCAAAAGTAAGCACTGCATGAACTCTGGGCCTAACTTTGAAAAGCCATTTGATGTAAGTCAAATAATAGTATCTGGTGATATCCTGAAGTATTCACTGGAAATGAATAGGAAAACTCCTTAACTTATTTTCTAACAAAGAAGCCTGTGCTAGTGACTAGTCTTGACATACACAGAGTTTTAGAACACCTCAAAATGTAAAATTTTTCATTTTTACCCTCCCATTCCCTACTCTTCTTTTTTATTTCCTTCCTCTTAGATGAGATTTTTTTTTTCCCCTCCAAAATCTTACTATTCTTTCCTCTTCAAACAAACTCAACAACGTGGGCCCCTTCCTCCGTCAAGGGGCTGGGACCATCGGACACAGAATGAGCGCAGGATATCATGGCACCATCACGTCCACCATACAAGAGCAAATGCTCTTCAGCTATTACGAGGCTTGATTTCTTATATGGATAAGCACTTAAAAAAATCTTTTTAAAGCAAATCTGCTGCCAGAATATTTCTGTTTTTTTAGACTCTCAAATGATCTTCTATTATTGAAAATATTCTGCAGACGATGTGAAATGACTAAGTAGGGTACTGATTCATTAAGCTTATAAAGTCTTTGCTCCAAACTGCTAGTTAGGCAGTAACAAAGATAGACGGCAAAGAGCAAACTCCTATGCTCCTTTCAGAAGAATTAAATTAGTAGAAGACGACTTAGCTTCGACACTTTAAGAGTGGGCGCAGAGAAAGATTTTGATATCTTTTCACACGAATATAGGAGAAGCCTGCAAGCATAGTATCTTTTCACCAACTAACTAAACGGCATAACATAGACACAGATTTCAAAGATAAAAGCCAAAGAAAGGATATGAATGTCAATTTATTTAAAAATACTTTTCACTTATTGCTATCACGTACCTGCATTTTTAGGCAATAATCACTGAAGACTGAAGAGCCATCACAATAGACAGGGCCTATAAAAAGTAGGTATTACACGATTTTGAAAAGCTAAACAATAGGAAAAGCTGAAGGAATACGAGTGACACTAAGGACAAAGCTGATGAAGTGAGTGTTCTTAGCATAGCAACGATTAACCTTGCCGGGAACATAAAAAAACAAAAGAAGATAATCGTAGATTTTTTAGAAAACGGACAATAGGTGCAATGAATGCATGATACATCAATATAAAAGCAGAAAGCAAAACAATCGTCAGTGGCCTTGACAAGGTACAGATAAGTAGCTTGAGGTAGTTGTGAACATTACAAAAAGACTCAATACTAACAAAAATTTCCCTAGAAACAGGAAACAAGCACTCAAGGTCACAGACCACACACAATTTTGCAAGAGAAAGATCTGAGGTAGGACTGTTTTCCTGAGTTGTACAAGAATTAATACAAGTATTAAGCAGGTTCCCAGAAACTCCCCTAGTGGTCTGAATACCATCAATGAAAGGACGTCTCTAGAAGCCCAGGGCCTCCAGCGTGGAGATGAGAGCAGCAGGGTCTTCCAAATCACGGTCAACAGCCTTTCCAGTTCTGGTTCAATTTTGGGTCTTCTGATGCAGACAGCACAAGTATGGAGAAGGGTGCCCTTGAGAGCCATCCCTAACTCCTAAAGGAAAAAGATGGCCAGCCATACTGCAGATGACCTAATTTAGGGAGTCCTGGATGTCCTGATGCACTGAGACCAGTCTTGTTTAACAGGTGTCTTTCAAAAAGCTCCACAAGTATTCTCATGAGAGTTTACAACCAGACCACAATGTGAATAAACTCAACCACGGCATTTTAGGGCGAGAAACACCTTGCTCCCCCAACCCCTCATTTTACAGATGAGCAGCCTATGGCACAGACTTGGACACTCTCCTAAGGTTCTATAGCTAGTGGGAACTAGAATTCAGTGGAAAGAATATAAGCACCAAGCTCAGTATCCAAAGAGATAGGTACCCACTCATCATTATCACAGTTATTAAAACTATCCTACCTCAATACTCTTCCTATCAAACTAAGTAAGATCTGCCACAGCACAGAAACAGAACTTCTAACCAGCAAAGGAAGAAGAGGAAAATGTGGAGAAAGGACGATAAAGGAAATCCACATGGGGGCTATGGCCAATCAGGAGTCAGCAGGAGAAGCTAGATGTGCAGCTGTGAGAGAAAGAGAAATACCCGAAGTTGGAAGAAAGGAACCTGGAGAGACGCGGGAGAGCAAAGACTGATGTCGCCAAGTGCTAGTGTGATTACACAAGAAAAACACTAAGTGTCTTAATTCTCTAAAGCACAGGAAGCTTTTTAAACGTCCTGAGGAGGAGGGGAGGAAGGATTGGTGGGGGGGGGGGTGGCAAACTCTAAGAAAGTTGGGGGAGGGGATCAGACAGCAACACCTCCCTCCCCCTGGCTGTTCCAGGATAACTGGCCCGTGGGCCACCCCCGGCACTCTTGTCATACAGACTGCCAACCCCAGCCTCAAACTGTCAAGTCCAAAGAATTCAAAACAGCTTCACAGATTTAGTTACGAAGATTATGTCACAGATATTTGAGTCAAGAAATGCCTGCACATCTGAGTAGCAAATCACATGTAGTTCTTTTCAAAGAAATAAACAGGTCAAAATCTCAGGGCCATATCCACGAAATATAATCTACAATCAATTATACAGATGCTAAATCAACTCCAAGATTTAAAGTTCAAACATTTTATAAGAGCAGTTAGAAAACAGAGACTTTCAAGACAAAACTACCATGGGCAAATGTGAAAAGCAATGAGACCCCATGGTCTCAGCCCAGCTCTGCGGCCTACGCTACACAAATGACTTGCTCCCTAATCCATAAACCCGCCGGGCCATAAGTACAGCACGTGCCTGCCAGGAATTTGATCTAAACTGGTTAGCGATCATAAAGCCACCTAAAAAAGTAAGCACTGCATGAACTCTGGGCCTAACTTTGAAAAGCCATTTGATGTAAGTCAAATAATAGTATCTGGTGATATCCTGAAGTATTCACTGGAAATGAATAGGAAAACTCCTTAACTTATTTTCTAACAAAGAAGCCTGTGCTAGTGACTAGTCTTGACATACACAGAGTTTTAGAACACCTCAAAATGTAAAATTTTTCATTTTTACCCTCCCATTCCCTACTCTTCTTTTTTATTTCCTTCCTCTTAGATGAGATTTTTTTTTTCCCTCCAAAATCTTACTATTCTTTCCTCTTCAAAAAATTAACTCACTTGAGAATGTATTGTCAAACCTCACTTCAACTCACCTCAAACCTTGAGTCCATCGGACTCTTGGCATCTGGGAGTCTGGTGTGATCTGGAATGCCTCCAGAGCACCACCTGTTAGAACGCCTCGGACTCTCCATGAACCCCTCCCAAAGCCAGACCCTTTCCCCCAAATAAACACGCCCTCTGGGTAAGAACAGTGTGCTGGCTCTCCAAGGGCTGCTTGAAGACGTCTCCTGGTCTCTCATCGCTTTCCTTCCAGACTCCAGCCCCAGAGCCCCTTTATTTAGAAACTGCAGAGCTTCCAGTGTTCCCCAAAGTCCCCAAAACAGGGAATGGTTATGCCCTGACTTACTCTTCATCTCTCGGCTGACATCTCTTTCCTGCAACCACGAATCTTCTGTGAGGCAGTTGGCTTCCGAGACTGTCTAGGTTAACGCTATTGGAGTCTTATTATGCATCCAAATCCAGTGAGTTTTAACTAGGAAAAAAACTATGTCTCATAAAAACCATTTATTTAGTGAGCCCACAATTATGTAAGGTACCGCATCATACTCTGGAGCTGTCTCTTAAAAGGTCCTTGGTTCGTTTTGATACAACACTTAGGTTTAAGGAGCGGCAAATAGTCTGTCATTTAATAACAACAGAAATACGTCAATATATTTTAACTGGAGACATCTACTCTACTTAAGTAAGAAGACCCAATCTGAGTTTTAACAGACCAGAGGTTTTTGCAAAATATATGGAATTCTCAAGAAACTCTGTATCCATCTGATACTTTTAAAACTCAGTTTGCCATACAGCAATCCTTAAACGATGGAACAGTGCAGAAATCAAACAACAGGTGCTGCAACTGGAAAAGAAGGAAAAACAGGCACAGAATCATACCCCTTTAGAAGAGATTATCTAATCCAGCGGTTCTCAAAATGTGGTCCCCTGACCAGCTGCATCAGCATCACCTGGAAACTTGTAAGAAATGCAGATGATGAGACTCGCCCCAGACCTACTGAGTCAGAAACTGCAGGGGGGGGGTCCAGCAATCTGGGTTTTAACAAGCCCTCGGTGATTCGCATACACACTAAAGTCTGAGAACCACCGATCAATCCAGCCACTCATTGATGAGAAAGAAATGAAGCCAGAAACTGCAAGTCTTAGATCAAGTTAGTGACCAAGGTCACCAGAGATAGTTCTCAATAAACCTTCAAAATAATTCTTAAACAGTACACCTGAATCCAAGCAGGCCCTCAGGATTTCCCAGGCTGGAAACATCTTGTTATACTGCAGTATTACTTCTTAAGTCACAGTTAGACAGACAGGCAGATACAAATTTTCTTGTTGTGAGTAATTTACATGTAGTACCGAAAAAAGACTTCACATTATTGACCTCCCCACAAAAGCAACAAGTCAGGGCTCACAGGCTTCTCTGTTTGTTTGGCTGGTTGGGTTAACTTCTGTTGCTGATAGCAGTAGTGGGTTTTGTCTTGTTATGGCTGTTTCGGTTTGGTTTTGCGGGCAACAGCAAGAATTTACGGGACATAGCTGACAGTCTGCTTTCGGTTTTGGGGGCTTTTCCCCCCTCCACCAAAGAGTTCACATTAAAGGCTTTGAAAAGCAATCATAAAGGACTAATAGGCCAAAAATTGATTAAAAAAACAAAGTAACCCTCCCCCCCCCAAAAAAAACTTCAGATTTTATCTTGGAATGTATCCTATGACTTTTTTTTAAGTCAACAGATTTTTATTTTCTCTTGTATAAAATTAGTTTTCATTTGTGGAACACATAGTGGCAGAATGATAGGAAGCTAGACTGTGTCCCAGGAACGAGGACAGGCCTAGAATCAAGCCACACACAACACCACGAAGTAGGTGCCTCTGACGCACAGCACGGAGGGTACACTATGCATCATCTCCTACAAGGACAAGACCACATACTCGGCTGCGTCATCAACCCACCAATGCAACATCGACCACATGAAACGACATCTACAATTTTCGGCCCTAGGGCTCTCGTTCTAAACAGATGTTTGATGTATCTCGTACCTTTTTATATAAATATTTCAAAGTCTAGTAGTGGTTATCTCCCCGACTACACATCTGTTTCTATTTACACTTTAAATATCCTCTTTGAGAAGTTTATAACTTGGGTGTCAGGATTACCACAGATTGAGATTTAGAGGTTTCAGAAATAAACGTTTCCATTCCTGTTTCTCATACTGAAGCTGTTTTCTCAATGTCATGCCAGACTAGGGATGTTTTCAACCCTGTTTTCCAACCCCACTAACATGTTTAGTCACCTTTGACTTTACAAACCAAATTTTCTAACTAATACAGTTCAGCGTGTGATTTTATTTCTCGGAAGAACCAGGGATGAGCACACAAGGCCACAGAAACAACTACTTCTTTCTGACTTACACTTCCAACTCTCTGTGGATGACCTCTATGACCAAATTTTGTACCTTTATTTTTCAATTCGTCGTCAAAGAAGGGTAATAATCCCTGCTACATACTTTACAGGAAAGAAATGAGAGTCACTGAATTAACAATAATGCTCTGGAGAGATGGCCTTCCTTGGAAGGACTGTAAATTCAGTGAAGTTACTGGTCCTCAGCCTCCTCTTCAGCTCCACAATATACCCTCTGAAGTTAAATTAGAGGGGTTAAAATTATTTCAACATTCTTTCATTCAACAAACATTTCTGAGCACTCGCCGGGCATCAGGCAGTCTATGAGGCACGAGGGAGACAACAGCCAGCAAGACAAACACAGCTCATGCTCCTCACAAGACATCTTAGAGAAGCGTTGACTGAACTTACGGGACTTCCATTCAGTTTACACGCCAAGGGCTCAACTCCATTTGATTTGTAAATAATTATTCATAATCATAATTACTCGTCATCACTCCACTCTGCTCCTAAAAAAGGGAGACCACATGAACTACATGAAAAGCTCACAGAACACACAGACAAACGCTCTGTAATATGAAGGCCTCACATAGGTCAAAATAGCACCCAGTAAACACCTTATAATCTATGAACCAGACACACAGTGTTAAGCCCCAGAAAATGAACCAAGATTTTCTTTTAAAGGCAGAAGACCTTGGCCTAAACATTTACCTGTCAAATACTAAACTTAAACATAATCAGTCCTCTCTAATTGTGCTGTCCAGTACAGTATCCACTAGCCATTTGTGGCTATTTCCATTTAAATCAATTAGAAATTCAGTTCCTATGTCACACTAGTTACATTTAAAGTACTCAACAGCCTCAAGTGACTAGTGGCTATCACTTCTAAGTCATTACAAACACCTCATTATAAATCATTTCTATCATCTCAGAAAGCTCTAATGGGACAGTACAAATAGCTCTGTAATACCAAACCTGAATATTATGGGGTAATGAAATGTGACGAAGAGTCTGTATTCTGCCACTGCACACAGACGTATGTCCATCGGTAACGCAGCGCCATTTCTTCCTTCCTAAATAAGTTGAACGTGACAATATTAAGTATCTCTTCCAGTGTGCATGAGTAACCAAGAAAATTCATGCCACCCAACTGGTCAGTCAAGAACAAAATTGGGACACAAGTGAAAAACTGATTCCATTTTGCCCTCTCCCTCCTACTCTTTTTACAAGAATGTGTTGGTGGTATTCTGCGTTCTCTGTGCAAGGATGTGGGTTTTCAGCCTAGTAGCTAGTAGCAGAGGAGGTGAAGACAGTTAAGAACGAAGACGGGTGACACAGGCAAATATCAACACAAATAATGCAACTCAAATTCAGTTCAGACCGACGCAATGAACTTAAGAACCTACTGTGTGTCAGACACACACAGATAAATAATCCCCATTTCCAATTTTGATGAGCTCAGTTAGTAGGGGTGTCCAACGTGTCAACAAAAACAATATGACAGGTCGTGATAAATGCAGTGAGACAAACATGCACAGGACACAGAGGTGACACAGGGAAGGGATTTTTCAATGTTTTCTGAGGAGAAATCAGGGAAAATTTCCTGAAGGAGGTACCCACGAGCAACCTAGGCAGAGCTGTGCAAAGGAAATACGGGTGGTTTGGCAATGCCGGAGAAATGTGGCTTTGGTGGTCAAGAGGGACGCGGATGACAAGGGAGGGAAGGAGACGGGGTTGGAGAGCTGTTTCCATGCCAGACTGCCAACACTCATGCTTACGTCAGGCTTGCCCTGGTGGGTCTACAAACTTTGCTCACCCAAACTGCAAGCACCGTAAAACCAATCCTTAAATTTCCCAAGTAACATGCCTATGTCTGCCACACAGCTAACACTATTAGACAGCAACCATTAGTAGGAATACAAAGACATTTCTTTGTGACACAGTATCATCTAATAATACGTATTGGTTGCAAAAACACGGTAATAGGAGCCCTTTGTTTTCAGGGAAAGACCTGTTTCCTGTGAGTTTTATTTGGAATATCTTTAGAGAATATATCAATAAACACATGTTCAGAACAGATGAGTTACCCTCACATCTAAATAGTCCCTGTAAGAGTTCATCTGACCAGGACACAAATGAAATAAAGCAAAGGGAGAAGAGGAATGTAGAAGCAGAACTTCTGTACTCTACACCAGAGTAATAGTTATTTTGCTCCCAAATGTTCACGGCAAAGCTTCTGCTCCTCTGTAGACTGCCCCCCACTTTGGGCTACACCCAGCCTATGACCACAAGATTGTATCGTGCCAGCAACGGAAAGGACTTCTGCGGCTGCGTATGCAAATCCTTGGAAAATACCTGAATCTTCTCGACTCTTCCCTTCACTTTGCACATGTTTACGTCTAAAAACAAAACAAAAAACTCCCATGGAATGTGTTCTTTTCAAATTACTGGGGTCCCCTCTCTTCTCTTCACTATAAACTTCCTGAAAACGTTAGTAGCCTACATACCTTAACAAATTCACCAAGTGATTCTCCCCGCTTTAGTACAAGCACAACTTTCCAGATGAAAATACATAAATACATAGGTAAATACTGTATACAGACTCGCTGGCCTGCAGGCAAACATATAACTATTGCTATTCACGCAAACATGTGGCCCTTAGGTAAAGACCTATTTCCAAGACAGCATGGCTGAAAGCACGGGTTCTGGAGTCAGCCTCCCCGAGTACTAGTCAGAGATCGTCACTGACCAATTCTTTCTTACCTCCTAAGCCTCAATTTCCCCAATTGTAAAATGACGATCAATACGTGTTAGCTATTTTTACTATTTCGTCTCTAAAGATGGGTGGTTTCACAACTATCTATTCCATCAAGCTGGTTACTTCGATAAGTTCTGACCCCCTCCCTGTGCATCAGAAATACTCAGGGAGGTCTTTTTTCTAATGCACCATGTCCAGGCCCGGGGTAGATTGGGGTTCCACTGGTCTGGAACGGGGCCGGGCATCGGAGTTCTTTCTGAAGCTATTCAGTTGCTTGTATGTATAAACAGGATTAAGAACCACGCGTAGTTCTCTGCCAGCCAAAGAGAGCGCCGCGCCGGTGAGGTCTGAGAGACCTCCGACCGAATCAGCGCAGGCCGGCCCGGACGCAGGAGGCTCGCCCAGACGCTGTGACCACGGACTCCAAGCGCGGGGATTTACACCCACGTCCGAGCCCTGCTCACCGGCATCACCTCCCTTGGACCCCGCCGGACGCGCCTTGACACCGGCGCGCCCGGGATCGTCTGGGGCACACGCCCCCTCGCCCCTCTCCCCCGGCCCCCGCGGGCGCCGGGCCCTCCGGACGCGTGCGTCACCGCGCCCCCGCTCCCGCGCCCCAGCCCCCTCCCGCCCACGGCACGTGACTCGACACGCGCCAGCTGCACGCGGGCTCAATCAAAACAAAAACAGAGCAGGCCGGCCGGCCGGGCGGCGGCGGCGGCGGGGCGCGCGGGGGTGGCGGGAGCGGGCGCGCCCCCGCCGCCACTGCCCAGCGCCGCGGCCGCGCGCCCCGGCCGGCCGGGGGCGGGAGGGCAGAGGGCGCCACCCTGTTTACAGCCCTTGCTCCCGGCCGGGGACCCCGCCCGGAAACGGTCTCCCGGGAGAGGGCCCGGGAGTGCGCACCCACCCGCGGCCGGGACGCCGGCCCTGCGTGGGAGGCGCCCGGCTCCGGCCGCCGATCGGAAGAAAACGTCGCCACGGCTCTGGGGTCCGGCCGCGAGTGTCCGCTCCTCCTCGGCCCAGCGCCCACGGCGGCTTCGTGTCAGCGCCCGTCACGACTCTGCTACGCACTTCACCCCCATCCTTCGGCTCCAGCGCTTCCGCAGACCACCCTCACGTGGCCGCCTCCTCGCTGCACGGCACTCCCCGGTGACAAGGGCTGCGGACCCCCGCGCACTTAGGGTTCCCGAGCCGCTCCCACCCCATGGCATGTCACCCCTCTCCGGCCACCCGACCCACCTATTCCGCCGGGGTGGGGGGACCAGGGGATGGCCACAAGCTGTCAGAAGCTTTGTTTTCCACATGACGAAGCTCACCCTCACCCTTACATATCCCCACTCACCCTTCTGCTTAGCTTCGAGCTGAATCAGATATTTTACAGCGGAACGGGGGGAAGGGGGGGAGGTAAGGTCTTGATTTTTCTCCCTAATTCGCAAAAAAAAGCAAATTAAGACGCAGCTCTGAACATCCAATCACTTTAAGACTACCCACGTCGTCCCACCAAATGCAAGACTTAGAAAATAGAAATGCCCACCACACACCTGCTACGCAACCTGCCCTCTGGAAACCTGGAGACCCACCCAGCCCGCCTTCTGGAACCTGCGCCTGGGTTGGGGTGGGAGCGATACCATCCGGTACCCTAAAGTAAGAGGGAGTGAGAGGGGACAGGCAGCCCCTCGCCCCGCCCGGGAGCGCTGTCCTCCCGTCCCCCAGCTCCAGAGCAATCCAAGGCATCCTTGGTCCCTCCCGAAGGAACGAGGGAGGTGGCCAAAGGCCTGAGTGCCGAGGGCTGTTTTCCCCTTTTAGAACCCAGGCGTCCTCTCTAAGCACCCCCACTCCCCGCCGCCTTATTTCTTGTGGACAGCAAAGGTGGGGTAGGTGGGAGAAACGAGCGAGTGCTCGCCAGGTTCGGGATGTTGGTCTCCGCGGAGTGAAGAGGTGGGATCTCGAAATGGAAACAGTCTCCCCCCTCCCTCCCTCCCCTCCTCCTCCTCCTCCTCCTCTTCTGTTTACCTCAAGTTTGAATTTTATCTGCGCAACATTAGCTGGAATGCGGACATTGAAAAAAAAAAAAGCACACACACTCAGCCCGGCAGCAGCTCCGGAGGAGCCATGTGGCATCAAGCCACCTCAAAGGGGAAAAAAGTGCTCTTCGCAACACAAACATGGCGAAATCGCCTCGGCATTCCCGGGTAGCGGCACGAGCCCTACCTTCCCTCGCCCGGCTCCCGAACATCCCGGCTGTGACCTGCGGCCCCCTTCCGGGGGGAGGCGAGGGGCCCCGGGGAGTCCCAGGGTGGGACCGCGGGGCGTGCGAAAGAGGAAATAACAGAGTCCACAGTGGAAACGTTTCTGCTGGACCAGCGAACCCATCCGCCTCGCCAGCAGCGAGGGGACGCCTCGTTCACCTCGAGAGGTCTAAACGGAGAAGAGAATTCCCACCCCAAAGTCCAGCTGAACCGGCTTTCCCCACCCTCCAGAACTTACCTTGGGGCTGAACACGCGCTGCTGCTTAAATCCCTTTCTCTTTCTTTCCTCCAGAGCGAGACGCAAGGGGGAAAATGATGCGCATGTATATTTGTAGAGCAAATTCTTCTAGAATTTCCCTTTGATCATCGCGAGGAGCGATGGAGGCTCCGGAGACAGGTGCAGTGCTGGCCGAGGCTGCCGGCTAAAAGTTGTTCTCTCCGCGGTGGGCGGCGGGGTACCCCCGGCTGGGGCTGAGGACCCCGTCTCCCTGCCCCCCGGCGTCGCCCACTTCTCCTCACGGGCTGCTGCTGCGTGCGGCTGGGCTGCAGGGGAGGTGGCGTAGTTTCTCTTCCTCCCACCTCTTCTCACTCACTTGTTTTTGTAGCCGTGGGCTCCCCTAATGCTTTCCTCTCCACAATGTTGTTTCATTATATCATGTCCATCATGTGACACCGGAGAGGCCTCTCTATGGAAACTTAAAGGGGCTCCCACGTGACTGCAGCAGCAACAACAGCAGCAGCAGGACTGGCGGCGGCGGCCGCAGCGTTCGTACCACCACCCACCGAGAGCCCCTCGCAGAATCCCGGAGGGGCTCCTGGCGCTGCAGAAGCCCAGATAAGGGAGCCACAGCATCCGGGAGCTGTGGCGTCTGTGCGTGCGTGTAGCCTTTGCTTATTACATAGAAAACCGAACAGAAGGAGCGTCCTTAAATCCTTTCCTACAGTTACAAAACCCACGCTCTGTTAAAATGACATTTCGTGGCTCCTACTTTTTTTTTTCCCAAGAGCAATGAGTTTTCTATCGGGTCTGATTCAATTCTACCAAGTCAAAAAGAAAAACCGGATTTATCCCTCTGCGAGTTCGGTCAGCTTCTTGGGTAGAACAGAAATGACAAAACAATAATAACAGAAATAGAATCAGGCATTTGATACATAATTACCATCACCACCAGCTTTAAAGCTTTCTGGAATTGCATTCCTCCGGTAACTCTGTGGATGATGCTTGCAGGAGGCAAGAGGCAATGCAGTTTTTCTCTTCCGCAGCTATATTAGGGCTTTGTTGCTGACAACAGTGAAAACTTGTTTGTGTCAGGAAGTGAGGTACGAAGATATGACCTGGAAGGTACAGACAAAACCAAAGTGGCAGTTTTTGCGTTACTTTTCTGACCACATTCTTTCAAATGGTGAGAAGCAGCTGATCTGCTGTAAAATGCGTAGAATGTGTTTGGTGGGTGAAAAAATAATCAGAAAAATACATTTTCCCCTTAATCCTACTGTACATGCTAGACACTAGAAATTATATATGTAAATGTATACATACGTATAAGTGTGTGGAGAGAGAGAGAGAAAAGCATGTGCATTTTTATGATATTTTGAACCAATAATTTTGTCATCATTTCTAGCATTTTACTGAAACAGTTAAACACTTTGAAAGACATTCAAGTCTAGTGATGTGTAGAAACCATACCATCAGTTTTGAGTGCCTTCCGTATTACTGAATCACAACCCTTTCATGGGGTTATGCCTTAAACTCCAAATATCTGCCTTAAAGTTTGTGTGGACCGTGGAGATTTTATCCTGTAAATCTAAGCTAAATAGTTATTTCTGTGTTTTACTTCATGCTTTTCCATCTAGGAGGAAAACTCCCTGTTTGGATTGGTGGAATTATGAAAAACTTCGCAGGAAACTGAAAAATGGGATGGAAAATCATCCTTTCTTCTGGCTTTGCCTTGACTGCATCTCTTTCCATCTCATCAGTTTACCTCATCAGCCATGATGAATGATCTCCATACATCCCTTCTGATCCCATAATATGTCCCCCAATATTTACCCTCCTATCTAATACCTAATTCTTCCATCCCTTTCCCCTTTTCTGTCTTTGCCTCCCAATTCAGCTCCCGTGCTGCCTGGGTACTTAGCCCAGGCCTCCCCAAGTACTTCCTCCCAGTCCTCCTTCCCCTGCAGCTGCCCGCCACCCCCCCCCCCCCCCCAGCTCGGTCTCCCTTCTCAGCAACTCTACCTCCTTACCTCTCTTTGACCTCCTTTAGTCTCCTTCACAGTCTGGCCCTTGACTTCTCGGCCTCTTCTTCCCCTTCTTTACCTGCAATGTCCTGCCCCTACTGGGGTCTCCTTCACACCCTTCTCTCTGGTCCCATCCCTTCTGACGCCAAACCCCAGCATTCCTCAACGGCTTGGCCTGGTCGGCTTTAGCCTGATTTTGTTCCCGTGCCCCTGGGCTGGGAAAGGAGTGTGTGGTGCAAAGTGGGGGCAAGAATGCCCCTCGGCGGTGACCCCTGCCTCGCCCCCCTCCGCCCCTCCCGAGCCCGGGTTGCGGCGCTTCCTGGGCGGATGGTTGGGACCTGCTGCAGCAGCTGCGGTTCTGCTGTGTCATGCAAGAAGGAGGCGGCGGCGGCGGCCGGAGCTGGAGGGGGAGGAGGGGAGGAACCTGATCTCTCCGGTAGCGAAGGGCTGGAGGCAAACACCGAGCTCCCCCAGAACCGCCCGGGAGCAGGGAGGGCTCCGCTACCCCGGGGGGCCCTCCCCGCGGGGCAGATGGTAAGTGGGGCGGCGCAGGTGGTCGCCTTGGGAAGGGAGCGCGCAGGGGGGTTAGATGGGGAGGCGGGAAAAACTGGGAGTCACCCCAGCCAAACTGAAGGAGCCCAGTGTCCAGCTGAAAGGGAGCGACCCAGGCCATAATAAGGATGACCGGCCAAACGCAGCAATAATTACAATGCGAATAACGCCCCGCCGTTGACCCAGACTACACAGAGGAGTTGTGCATCCCGAACCCAGGACAGAGCCAGAGGCAAAGATTCAGCTTTTGGGAACCATCATCCCGTCAGCCCTGGCGCTTTAAGGTATACAGCTCGTAGCTGTCAACATACACCATAATCCTATAGCCTGGCGGCGCCTTATGGGTCGTCTTGTTTAAAACTAGGGAAGGGGATGGAAACCTGCCCAACCTCACTTTGGCCACGAAAATAATGCTCTTGGCCAGTGGCCTCGGACAAACAGCCTCTGGCGCAATTAAAGAATCAATAGGAAAAATAGCTTCATTCCCTTCACCACCCTCCTTCCCCAAGCTCCTTCAATCAGGGTAATTGATTCTTAAAGGAGAAAGACAACTATGCCTTATATTCCCTCCCGCCCTACACCCTCGGCAGCCTCCTGCCTTACATGAACGGCCCACCCCACTTTCAGGCTGTGATTCCTGTTGGATAAGGGGACTGCCTTCCACTCTGAACAACTTCACCTCCGCTGCCCTTTACCCCCAGGGGTTCAGAAACAGAAGTGAGAGCAGTGAATGTGGGGACAGGCTGGGCACATGCAAACGTTACTTCTTTTACCTGCGTGCACTTCTCAGGACAAGTTTTCTTTTATTATTGTTAGTCCTTTCCATTTCGTTCCTGGGAATTTCAAAGCAATTTCTGAAACATCTTTTTTTTTTTTTTTTTTTTTTTTATGTCAGTCATACATTTAGAAGTGAGGGGTTGGCAAGATTAGCTGAAAAGCTGATGACTGTCTCAGAAGCCCATGCGGTTGCTAGGGAACTCCAGCTCACCCTGCTCTCTCTGATCACTGGCGTCTTAGGTGGAAATCAAACTTCTCCGGGTGTTATTAAAATGAATGGCATTTGGTCACAGGCGTTCTTGCTTCTGTTGCAGCACACTGGATTGTTATCGATCGCCTCACACCCACGTATCTTGTTTTCCTAATTTGATTTCTGTATTTGCGTCACTGCCTGGGACATGCAGGCTAGACCAGTCAGGTTCACTTCCTGTTTCTCAGAACTGGTTTATATTTGGTCTCGTAGCGCTGGCTGGTAAAACATTATCAAACTGATCCTCTTGCAAAGAAATCTGTGCTTTCCATGAAAACAAATTATTCCAATTAAATTCTAATTCCCATGGAAAACATCGTCATTTGGGGAAGAAAGTAGACTGCCAGTTGCCATTTGAGAAAACCATTCTTGAAAGGTAAAACCGAGAAAAACCCAGCATCTTTATTTCTTTTACCCAGAATCTTCATTCCTCAGCATTAGAACTGAAACAAACTCAGGGAGAGAGAAGACTTAAGTATGATATTTCTAAAATGAAGCTCAAGAAATGCACACTGAAGCTGGGGAAATAATTTAGACTAAATAAGGCATAGAATTGAATGGAATCCAGGCCCCAGGAGCACAAATAAGCTTGGGTTAGCACTGGGGCACTCAGAGAACAGAGTGTGATTACAAGGCTACGCTGCAAATGGGAGCCCACCATTTTGTGCACTAATTGTCTCTTTTACCAATTCCCCTATATCCCTGGACAAAACAGCCATGCTTTTCTTTTTTTCAGTTCCTTCCTCTTTTTAAAGAGGATATCACAAAGGCAATATCATAAAGATAAACACTATGTAAATACTTAGGTGGGTTCTGATTTAGATAAGTTGTTTAGATGGAAAGTAATAGGGTATATATGGCATTGAGGAATGCTAGCTGATGATACTTAGGGAGTTTGCTCCCACTTCTCCTATAGACTGAATGACCTTGCATGAGCCATCGCAGGTTTCCTCATGGAAGCTTAACAAAAGTGCTGAACTAAAGGATCTCTAAGTTTCCTTTCAGTTACAAAATTCTGTGATTATATGAACTCAGTACATAAAAATTTCAATTTTAGCTGGATTTTGCCATGTTAAATTTTGATGCTGAAACATTAACATCTATCCATAGAGATCTTGGAGGAATGATTTGCTGTTGATATATCATTTTTTAGTGTCAGTTGCCAGACAATCAAATAAAATCGACCTTATTCCCAATGTACTTACTCTCTGCTTGCTTGGTGGTATTGTGGCAGCAGCAGGAGAAGAGGTAGAAAGGATATAAAAGTGTATAGAAAGGTCTTTCAGTAATTTTAGATTTAGTTAGCCCAAAGTACTTTGATGAGCAAAACAGTGGAATGATGAGGAAGGGCTGTACAAGAAATAATCAACTGAATCTTCATTCAACCGATAATCTGTTTGCCTGTATTTTATTTACTGATAGGCAAAAATATGCCTGGTACAGACTTTTGAAATTTTCAAATTCAAAATGTAAAGAAGTAGCATGGAGAAATGTGAGATTTGTGCCAGAGAGAAAGGACTTGACTTTGAAAGCCAACTCTACCACTTTATTCATTATTGAGTGCCTGCTATGTGTCAGGTACTGTGCTAGGCACTGGGAATACAAAGATAAATAAAACAGTCTGCTCCGAAGGACCTTATAGTATATTGAGGAGACAGATGAGTACACAGTTGACGACAGATGAGTGCACAGTTGATCATGAGACAGTGAGATAATATCAACAGGCAGGTCTTTGGACGGGTCCCTAACCACATAAGATGAATTTGGAGAGGAGTTCTGAAGGACGAGTAGAAGTAATCCAGACAAGTGGGCAGGTTAAAGAGAAGTGTATTCCAGGCAAAGAAAGTACTATGTGTAAAGTCCTGGAGGTAAAAAGGGGTGCCTAGAGAGTTGAAGGTGAAGGACAGTACCCAGCAAGTGGTAGATTCTTAGTAAATACATTGTATGAATGGCATGGCAGAAGTTCTGAAGGATGCACCTGGAAAGATCAGCAAAGTCTTGTATGTGAAAGGTCTTGTATGTCTTTTTTTTTTTTAAGATTAGCCCTGAGTTAACATCTGTTGCCAATCTTTTTTTTTTCTTCTTCTCCCCAAACGCCCCCAGTACATAGTTGTATATTCTAGTTGTGGGTCCTTCTAGTTGTGGCATGTGGGATGCCACCTCAGCATGGCCTGATGAGCAGTGCCATGTCCGTGCCCAGGATCCAAACCAGTGAAACCCTGGGCAACCGAAGCAGAGCGCGTGAACTTAACCACTTGGCCATGGGGCCAGTCTCAAGGTCTTGTATGTTTTCCTAAGAAGTTTCAGCTTATCCTAAGGCCAGTAGAGAATCAGTGATAAATTTTAAAGAGCATAGTGAGGTGATCAAATGTCCATTTTAGAAAGATCACTGCAGCTTGGAGAATTTATTGGTGTGAGTAATGCTGTGAGCAGGGAGACTAGCTGGGAGGTTGTTTTAGCATTATAGGAAAGAAGTGACGCATGTCTAAACTAAGGCAGCAAGAATGGAGATGAAGAGAGGAGAAGGATTCAAGAGATATTAAGGACATAGAACCAACTGAATTTTATTATTGATTATATTTTCAGGATTGAGGAATAGGAGGAGATTCATGGTTCAGATAAATGGGGGGATGGTGGTACCATTCACCAAGATGAGAACTTCAGGAGGAAACCTAAGTTGAGGAGGAAAGGTGATTAGTTTCAAACTCAGCTGAAACATGTTGAATTTGAAGTGTTCGTGGGCTATCAAAGTGCAGCTGTCTACTACATGATTGAACAAGAGAATCTAGAACCCAAGAGAGAGGTCTCTGCTGGAATCATCAGGTTAAGTGATAGTTCATAGAAGTAGATAAAATCCCCAAGAGAAAAAGCACAGAGTAAGAAGAGAAGAGGACCGACTCTGGAACCTTATGAGAATGCCACCATTTGAAAGACGAGGAGACGCAGATACGGGGGAAGAGCACGCAGAAGGTGGGCAGACGAGGAGCGAGCAGTGTCCGAGACACAGAGGGGACCTGTCAGCAGTGTTAAGTACTAGAGAAAGGTCATGAAAAGTGACGTCTGAAAGTCCTTGGATTTAGCAACAAGAGGGTCATTGTGTTTGCCCAAGAAAGAGTTTATTGGGATAACGGGGACAGTAACCAGATTGCAGTGGATTGAGGAGTGGATGGGGGCAGAGGAGGTAGACAGAGGAAGTTCTTTTGGATAAGAAGGACTAAAGGGCAAGTAGGCAAGGAACAGGAAGGTATTGGGAAGAGAGTAAAATCAATGTCTGTGAGCTTAAGGCTGCGTAGGGAAAGAAGGAAATAATACAGTAATACAAAAGTCTTGATTCTTTCAGTCTTCTCCTTCAAATTAAATGGCATCACCATCTCCCAATTCTCGAGTCAAAAAGCACATAGATATATTCAAGACAGTCTGCACTTTTCGTCAGTTCTCACGTCCAATCAGTGAGGAATTCAGGTCAACTGTACCTCCAAAACACTTCCAAGATCTGTCTCTTTCTGTTCCCACTGCTACCACCCTAATACAAACAGCATCTTCTGGGCTCCTGTAATAGCTTTCTAATTGTTTTCCTGCTTCCTCTCTCGCCCCCATTCTCCACAGCACGGCTACAGTGACATAAATCATGAAACAGAAATCAGATCATGGTGCTTCTCATCTTAGAGTCTTTCCACGCCTTGGGATTGCACTTGGACTAAAGTCCAGACTCCTTTGCTGGCCTGCAAAGCCTCTGCAGCATCCCAGACCACCTCGTCAGTCTCCTCTCCCATCACTCTCCAATCACACTGGCCTTTCAATCCTTCAAACACATTGGATTTGCTCTTGTTTTAAAGGACTTATCCTAGATATTTGCTTTTCCTGGAATACTCTTTTGGTTATTCTGATCTCAGTTTAAATGTCAGCTCCTCAAAGAGGTCCTTCCTGACCACTTTGCCTAAAGTATTCTTCTCTGTCCACTTTCCCAACCATCCTATGTATTTTTTTCATAGTAATAAAACTTTATTACTATTTATTTATATTGCTTGTAGGTGAGAACACCTCTAAAATGTAAACCCCATGAGGATTCCTGGCACATAGTAGGCACCTAAAAATGTTCGTTGGATGTTTATAGAAGGAAAAAGAGAGGAGCAATAGATTATTAGAAATTAGAGGCATCAAACATCAGAGCCTGGTGTGGTTGAAAAAATGGCCAGTGATTATGGATTACTAGGCTTTTAAGATTCCAGAAGTGGAAGAGTTACCAGCTGTGACTCT